TTGCGTCACACGCCTCGCCGGCAGCAGGGCCTGCCGGGAGTTGTAGTCTCGGGCTGACAGCCACTGCTCCGTCCTCCGCCACCGGGAGCTGCAGTCCCTCCCGGGCATCAAACGGGTCCTTCGCCCCTGGGCGGGGAAGGACCTGAGGCAGCAACGCTCCTCCCGAATGCCCTCTCTTTTTCGCTCCAACTCTTTTTTCTTTTTTCACTCTGCTTTTCACCCGCTTTTGCACTCTCACGCTTCCTTTTACTCTCTCACCCTTTTCCTTTTTCACTTACCTTTCACTTTCCTTTCCTTTCATCTTTTTTCCTTTTCTTTCTTTCTTTCCCTGTATTTCTAATCTTAGTTTTGCTTTCTAGCTTTAGAATAAAAAAGCAGCAGTAGTAACTATCAGGTTACATGGGAGTAAAAAAACCTCCAAAACTATAATGATTGAAAGAAAACTATTTATTCCCTGGGAGCTTGAAATTTTCTACTCCGGCACGTGACACAAAGCTTTTATTCCTTCTCACATATAGTTTATAATTTATACTTTCTTTGTACAGAGCCCCATGTCTGCCCCGGCGCGCTGCAGGAAGAGTACTGCGGCGTCATTCGGTTCTGTTTAATTAAATTCGGCTGAATTCGGCTTGGTTCGGCTCTTAGTATAAACTCGTTTCATTTCGGCTTTTCATCTACATTCGGCTTTTTCGGCTCTTCGGCTGAAATCGGTACGGTTGGGCTCAACACGGTCATATTCGGCTCTTTGTTTAAATGCGGCTAATGTCGGATACAGTCGGCTATCATCGGCTTTTGGTGTAACCTCGGCAGTTTTCGGCTACACTCGGCTCTTCGATAAACTCGGTTATTTTCGGCTACAATCGGTTCTTCAGCTCTGCCTGAAATTTCCTTTCGGGAAGGGAAAAGGAATCTTGCGAACACAAAAAGAAAGGCTTACAAACACTCTGGAAAGGAGATAGGACCAAATGACATGCAATTGAAAAAAAACCTAAAAAAACCCCAGAAAATGAGGAGTTTTAGTGTCTTCCAAAAATAGGCTGTGATAAAATGAGCTGCACTGCAAAGGACTAAAACATGCCAAAACTAAGCTCACAGATGTTGCAAAAGCAGAAGAAAAAGTCGAGGAGGAAGACAAAACCTGGAGGGGAAAATATGAGGGACTTGGCATGGATACTGTAAAAAAAAAACAAAAAAATTTTTCCTAAGTCAAAGCCATCAAAAGGCATGGCATGTCATCAAGGGCAGGGACATGCACCAAAGATTCCCCTCTTGGTCCCCATTGAAATTGCAAGATTCCTTTTCCCTTCCCGAAAGGAAATGATGGATCCTGTAACCACTGATCCTGGAGGGACTCTTGGGATGCCTGTGTTGCCCCCTCTCAGCTCCCTGTGCAGGCGTGCCCGTGTAACCCTCTGAAAGCAGCGTCTGGCAAGAGCTGCTCCCTCCTCATCCTCACTGGTCACACCTGGGGCTGCCGCACCTTTGAGTGGGGGGGCTGAGGTGGAGAAAAGTCCCGGTTGTCATTCCCTTCCCTACACAACCCCTTGTCTGCCCCTGAAACACCAGGGTGCTGGGCTTTTCTTTCCGTAGAAAATAACTGGCCTTCTCATCCTGTTGCCCGTGGCCAAAATTGTGCATTCTGCTTCCAAAACTCCGTACGTCCTAGCTTTGTAATTACCGAGGAAATTCTCCGTGGATTGTGATTACTGGTAATTTTTCTTCCGTAATCATTACTAACCTGTGTTTCTGTCGAAGCATTTGACAAGTTCCTTGAGGGGCCATGGGTTTGGCTGTGTTGTTTACGGCTAATCCTGATGAACCTGAGCACCCCCATGGTGCTGTGCCCTGACTTTCAGTGAAATATATAAATGCTCCCTTTGCCTGCTCCGCAGTCTTTTGCTATGCATCTGCAGGGAAAACATTTACTCCATCCTTTGATCCTGACCACAGTTCTCTGGCCCAAATGCCAGTTCTCACTGACACAAACTAAGCAGACTGCTACTACAAGTGTTTGCTTTTAAAGTAAAATTCTTATTGCATCTGGCTGTACAATTAGAATAAATACATATATTGATGGTGACCAGAGGAAAGCTTTTCAGACAAGAAGATATCCATTTTGGTAGCACAGATTCCATTTTGAGAATATTGCATTCTTTTGGGTTTGGGAAGCCTGACCACATAAGAGATCTGAAAATTGGTATTTTGCAGTTTGATATTTTGAAATGAGATAATTTTGATATTTTGGAACTTGATATTCTGGTATTTTGAAATGGAATTATATTGGTGCTTTGGAACTTGGTATTCTAGTTTTGAAACTGTGTTACTTTGATATTTCTGAACTTGCTATTTTGGTATTTTGAAATTGGGTTGCTTTTGTATTTTGGAACTTGGGTTAGGTTAAAATTCTGGTATTTTAAATCTATGATTTTGAAACCTGGTTTTCTTTAGTATTTTGAAATTTGGTTTTCCATTATTTTCAAACTAGTGCTCAAAACTAGGGTTTTGAACAAAAATACACCTAGGGTTGTATTTTGGAACCTAGTTTTTTGTAGGGGGAGTTTTTGGTATTTTTGTAGGCTGGGGATTTGGTATTTTTGTACCTGAGTTTCTAGTATTTTTGTAACCTGGGGTGGGTTTTTTTTGGCAACGTGTGATTGCCTGGGGTTTGGGGCATCCTAGTTGAATGTCCTGGCTTCATTTTCCTTCTTCCACCACAATTAACTTGGCATGGAAACTGTTAAATCACAGACTATACAATGAGATGCTTCCTAAAACAGAAATAAATTTTAGCTGCAGCAAGAAAACCCAGAGAAGACCATACAGGAAGTAATTCCATTTTAATAGTCTCCAAATCTCCAACACATGAAAGGAAAAATAGAGTAAGTGTGGCAGTATACAGGCATTACCAATAGAAGCAATGTTAGTCAGCTTCTCAATGTTGCTTTTATGTATTTTATGGGAAAAACATTTGGCCTAAAACTTCTTATGCATAAGTTGTTGCGGGTTATAGGAGATGGAACCTGACCCTTGGTACATTGCATGAGAACTGCAGCTTAAAGTTACTCAATGTCTTCTGGTCTTACAGGATGAGGCAGAGGTATAACTGATTTCTTCTCTGTATCTCTGGAAAGAGCTTTTCTCATATCTGTAGCAACAGGAAAAAATACTATTATAGTAATTTATTGTACAAAGCCATATTAAGTGAATTCTCCATTAAAATAAGATAATTTTTAATCAAGAAAATTTCCTAGAATTATAAGACTACCTCAAGTTTGAAAGGACCCATAAGGGTGCAACTCCCTGCTCCACACAGTACTACCTAAAATTATACTGTATGATTAGGAGCACTGTGCAGATATTCCTTGAACTCTGATGAGCTTGGTGTCATGACCCTTTCCCTGGAGAGACCACTGCAGTTACCAACCACCCTCTCGGTGCAGAGCCTTCTAACGCGCACTCTGAACATCCCCTGACACAGCTGTGCTCCATCTCCTCATGTCCTGCCACTGGAGGGAGGAGATCAGCACCCCTCTCTGCTGTCCTCAGAAGCTACAGACTGTGACAAGGGCTTGCATCAGCTTTCTCTTCTCCAAGTGGCACAAACTCATGGACATAAGCTGCTCCTCATAAATCTTGTCCTTGAGACCTCTCACCATCTTGGTTGCTCTCCTCGGGACACACTGCTGTCCTGAATATTGCTCAATGGCAATGATATCAATTGATATAAAATACTGCATGAAACTCAGCCAAATGGAAAGGAAATGACAAGCTAAAGAGATAAACACATGACTTAAGTTACATGCAGCAATGGCAGGTGCCTGTCTGAGCCCTTGTATTTCACAGCACTCCTACATATCAAATAAACAGTGCAAGAACAGAAACGATACACAGCCTGGCCATGTAACCCTTTGGGAGGATAATTTTAAAAAGGACCAAGAAAGAGAAAGCACTTGGTAGTTCACTGTTAACATAATTAACATTAACATAGTTGAATTTCAATGTTCCTTCCCTTTTAAATTGAAAAATGCTACCCAATCCTTTGCCATTGCTGAATGCTGACAATTGTTAATTTATACATAGAAATCTGAGAAAAACAAAGTTTCAAGTCCCTGTTATGGGATGAAAGGAAGAAAGCACTGACATTCCTTCTCCTTTATTCTTGTTTTGTGGTTGATTTTGCCAGAGATGTTAAAAAATGTGAAAGTGGCAAGATTAAGTTTTGTAACTGACATAATCTTAATTAGGAAAAGTTGCAAAAATACAAAAATCCCATTAATCAGCAACTATCTGAAATTGTTTCATATAATTGTTTCAAATTGTTTCATGTTTTTAATGTGTGTCATATAAAAAATAGTAACAGTTTTACAAACAATCCCAGCAACTTTCAACATGAGAATAGTTCCATTCGAGACCGAACAAGAACTTACCATAAGCATCTTCATCTGGCTCCCCACTGCTAGCTGAGTAGTACTCTAAAACTGTTCGGTACACACTGTAGCCTAGTTGCTTATACATATTTACAGCAACCTGATTTGATACTCTCACAAAGAGATCGACAAAAAATCCACCCTTTCTTTAGCAGGGGAGGAAAAGAAACAAACAAACAAAACCACATTAAGGAATAGCAGGTAAATGTACTTTTAAATAACAACACATAAATTGTAATGCAACACAAGCAAGTCCAATGTAGTATACTAATTAAACACCTTTCCCAATGTAATAACAGACACACTCATTTACCAAGGGAAAATTCAATCATAGACAAGGATTTAATTTTATTTTTATCACATGGCCATTTCTCACCAGTCAGTGGGTTCAGAAATTTGATCAGAAAGAACAAGATTAGTTAAATGCCCCCACAGGCCTAAATCCAATTTTAAAAGTATCCACATTTTGCATTGCTTGGATTAGGAGAAGTGGAATCAGTCACAAAATTCAGTCGCCTAACAGGAGATGATAGACTCTTAATGCCACAAGGCAAATTTTTCAAAGCATCATACTACTTTCCAGTCTTACCAACCATAGTGGGGTTGCCCTACTAGAATCAGTTAAGGACATTTCCCAGCAGGTTCATCTGACACCAAATTAAATCTTCTCAGGTACAAGTAACCAAGCAGGAGATGGCAAGTAAACTAAGATACTCTCTGCAGTACAAAATTTGTTCAGGACTGTGCCTGAGGGCATTGCACAAAGCCCACAGTTACTGACCAAGCATGTTGGAGGCCCTACGGGAAACAGTGCTGATGTTTCACAAAGCTCTTTTTCTGTCAAGGAATATTCTTTTATACACTATCTCTACAGGAATTCAGACTATTTCCTCCTCCCTCTGGCAAGCTAGCTTTCATAGAAACCCTGGATTTTAAACTGCTAAGCAACTTTCATAACTCTTTTTCTCCAACTATGAGGAGAAAAATCAGAAAATCAGAACACCACCTAAAACTAAATTCTGCCATGTAAAACAGCGACAGATTTCTGTAGAAATACTACTTTTAAATGTTGCTTTAAAAGATAAATTTAAAGATAGCCATACTACTCACTTTTCTGAAATTTCTTCCAGAAGCTCCATCAATTTAGCAGCCAAACCCAGCCGTCGAAATTCTGGTGCAACAGAGAGAGCAGTAACGTGTCCATGCCATTCTTCCCTGGCCACAGAGCCTTCGGCTTTGCCCATGACTGTGAACATACAGAGCATCAGCGCAGCAGCACCTTTGGAGTAATGCACTGCCTGCAGCCAGACAACTTCACAAGAGGAATGAGCCATGAATAAACACATGATACAATGGTTGTGGTAAAGGCTAAAACAGGGATGTCTACCTTTTTACTCTATATTCAGCAGCCACTAAAAATGTCATTTTACTCAAATATTACAACAGTTTCTTGACTAGTGTAAAAAAACACCAAACAAGTTTGCAAATTCCTTGCTTGAGATGACTTCTAAATGCAAATTTTAAGCAATTCTCATAAGTCTCACTGAACCAAAATTTAAAATCTGACTAAAATAAAGGACGAACAGAGGGCTAGAAACCCAAAACTACCATCCCAGCAACTATTTGAGACTTTTGGAGATTACGAGGGAATAGAGCTTGGGAAGCTTTGCCAGTCAGAAAGCTAAGGCCCTGCAAACACAATGTGTTGAAGGAAAAAAAAAAAAAAAAAAAAAGTGGAGGTGGGGATGGTGTTTTGGGTGGCTTTTTTTTTCTAGTTTCTCTCCTTTCAATCCAATGTTAGTTTATTAATGAACATTCACATTTCCACCCTGTGCTTTTAATAGATATTGCAGTCACTGCTAATAAGCAACAAGTGTGGTGGATACTGAGAAACGTTCTATACAGCACACATACTTTCTGCTTTAGTATGTCAAATACTTTTAGTTCTTGGGTCCCTGCAAAAACCATTTCTCTGCCCCACCCCATCTCCTGGCAGTTCTCTTTGGCATGATTTCTGAAAAACACAAATATTCTACAACAAATTAGCACATGACATCCAGGCCCAGAGTCTTCCTTTACAGGGCAATGCAAAACGCAAGGCCAGCACTTTTACTGACTGCGGGTAGGGACTTAATCTTCCAGATTACAGAAATACCCATTCGCCAAATACGGGTGGATGTTACCACAGCCAAGACTCCTCGCTGCGCTAGGAACATCAAACTGGAAGCTATGGCCGTGAGTCCTGCATAATACCCTAAGACATTTAAGAAACGGGAAGATGCAACGCAAGGTTCCTCTTCCATGTTGGACATTTGGTCAACGCGAAGAGTAAGAAAAGCTCCCGCGTTATAATCCCCGAAAGAGGCAACGAAGGGAGACGTTACCGCCGGGACACCCGGCACTCACTGTAACCCATCAGCTCCCCGCCGGGCGCCTCGGCGACGATGAAATACTCGGGCCAGTGGGCGAGGTACTGCAAGTAGAAGGGAATCCCATACTGGGCGCTTGGTTAAGGAGTAACTGCGGCCGCCAAGGCTGCGCCGCCCGCGCCCGACCCCGCGCCCCTGCCCCGGCGGGAAGGATACGGTCTCGGTCAGCGGGTCCAGATTGCTGTGGAGGAAGAGAGTGCAGCGCTCAGCACGGGCCCGGGCCCGGGCCCGGCCGGCCGGCCGGCGGGGGGCCGCGGGGACCCCGCGGGGTGGGGAAGCGCGCAGGGGCTCGGGGGCAGGATGAGGGGGCGGCCGGCGCTCACATGTTGTTGAATCGGAAGAGGTCGTCGCAGGTGAAGGCGCGGAGCGTTGTCATGATGACGGTGATCACGACGCTGACGCTGAGCGTGACGATGATGACACTGCCCCGGAAACGCTAGCGCGCCCAAGGGCCGCTCTCGCCAAGGAAAGGCGGCAGACAGGGCGCCCCGCCCCCAGGCGGCCCCGCCCCGCCCCCAGGCGGCCCCGCCCCGCCCCCAGGCGGCCCCGCCCCGCCCCGGCCCGCGCCTCAGAGCTGCCGCCGCGGGCCGTGCTGAGGAGGGACAGGGCTGCGGAGGAGCGGCCGCGGGATCCCGGACCGACAGCAGCGGGCGGGCGGATGGCGCGGCTGAGCCGGCCCGTGGTGGCATGGGGCACGCTGGGGCAGGGCCCAGCGGGGCCGCAGTAGCCAGAGTGCTCAGAGCTTCTGCAGCTCCACCCCGAGCACTCAAAGGCTACCGTAACACAGCGTGCCGTAGGTTGGGAGACTACCATACGCAGAAAAAACAACTCTGCCTCTGGAAAGATGCCGCCAGAGGAGGTCAGACACACACTGGAACCGCAACATCGATTTAACTGGGATGCTGCTGCCATCAGCAGTAGGTGCCTCTTCATGATTTGTAACAGTGGTCATGCCAGCCAACAGGGGCCTCTTCCACAAAAATACTGTCCTCAGTATTGGATTGTACTCCAGTCACCTGTTGCACAGCATCTCCTGTGGCACCCAAAAAAACCAGAAACAAGATGTCCATTATGCCCATTAGCATTCACCTCCTCCAAATGGCTGTGCCATTCCTCTCACTTCCATTCGAATGCTGAGCTATTTCTGAAGAAAATTATCACTGCAAGGGACCCAGATGACTCTAGTTATTCTGAAGAAAGATTTGCCCAGAAGTTGGAGGCTATACTGTGGGTGTGATTTTTGTCCTTGAAAATTCTGCATGAGATGCAGTGAATGGAATTTGGGTACATGTTTTGGGACAATGAAAGAGGCCTTTCTTGTCTTTCTTGGAATTTGGAATCAGGAGATGCTGGCAAGGCTACTCCAGACAGAGCATAGCCTGTCAGATTCGAGATCTGTCAGATTTCTGATAATTTAAAGTGTCAGCATTTTGGTAGGAGAAAGTTTGATTCAAGGTCTGTAGTGGTGGTGCAACAGCGATGTGGGATTTCAGAGTTGCCAGACACAGGAAGAGACGACACTTTTCAGGACAGTAGTGGAGGTATGAGGCGATATATATATATATATAAATATAAATATATATATATATATATAAATATATAAATATATATATATATATATATATAAATATATAAATATAAAAACTTGGGAGAAGGAACAGATGTTTTTAAGGCTGGTTCTTGATCCTTTGAGGTGTTAGGAAATGTATAGCTTTATAGCCCTCTTCTGCTTGAGGCACTCTTTTACTGCAGAACTACAAGAATGATATTATGACACATCCTTAAGAACAGAAAAAGCTCAACCGTTCACCTGACTGCTGTGACTTAAGGCACTCTCTCCAGCCCAATTGGACTTTGGGCTGCTTTGCTGTACTCAAGATAAAGCCTTTGCTTCTGAAGTGCTAAAAAAGGCACTAAAAAGTGCAAAAAGGCACTTTTGTTACTGTGCCTGAACTTGGTTCAAAAGCTGATCATGGCTAGAGTAGTCTTTACTGTTATCAAATTAATTCCCAATATTGTAGCCTAAGGCAATATTTTCTATTCAGTGAGTTTGGGCCAAATCTTGGGTGACTATCTTTGCTGAGTGAAGTACAGGTGAAACAACTTTAGGCCTTACTTAAACGTAAGTATAGAGATTATCAAAAAACTTCCTCCCCTTCCCAATTACCTTTTACTGCATATTACAAGTGAAATGTCATTCAGCTAAGATGTGTGGAATGTAAAATAAGAGGCAATTTTAGCATTTCTATGAAGACAAAGAGGATTTCACCTTTCAGAGAACAAGTATTTTCCACAGCTAATTTTATTTCCAACTACAACAAAAACAAGTGTTGACAATTAGTGTCTTAAAAGCTACAAAATCATGATTTCAACCCAGCAAGACATTTAGCATCAACTCTATGTTCGATTACAAGTCACCATCCAACAGGACCTTCTCTAGAATGTTGAATGTTAGCAAGTTTCACTCTACATACTCAAGGTGTGCTGTATCTCAAGTATCAGTGGAATTTTGTCTAAGGGACTCATCAATAAATGAAGGCATTTGTATCTTTAAAAGAACCATAATTATGGTATTACTGGTATCAATTACTGTGAGAAGCAGCAGCTGTTTCTCAGTATAGAAAAGTGAACAGGAATAATTAAATATGTAAGTGTGGTATTAAGTGCAGGCATCAGATAGCATTTTAGTGGTTTGTTGGGGTTTTTTTGGGTTTGTTCTGTTTTGTTTTTTGGTGGCTTTTTTTGTTTGTTTGTTTGGTTGTTTTGTTTTGTTTTTTTAAAGTACTTTGCATGATCCACCATCAAAAGAGGCCTGTATGAAGATAAGTGCTAGCATGGTTGATATTACAGGAATAGAAAAGTTAAGCATTCACACAGTCAAGCTCTGATTTGAGAATTATATTAAAAAAAAAAAAGACAAGGCCCATACATTTAGATACAGAATTGAAATGTTTCTACACATCTTAGAATACAACAAAATAACATGTTACACTCAGATTAGGACAACCAGCCTGTTCTGAAACAATTTAAAAAGTGACAAAGTCCACAGCAAAGCTATTGCTTTACTTCCATAATGTAAACACATCTGAAAGAAGAATATGCTGACAGTTTCACAGATGAGATTATAGATCAGTAAAACCAAAAAGCAATTGGTCGTACAAAGCTTTTGTCTTTTACAAGGCTTAGCTTACAAGCTCAGGCTGTACATTTATTCTTCGAAGGACATCTTCTGGCATACAAAAGACAGGATTGACAGCCTTAATTTGTTCTTCTCCTAATAAAGATAGTCCAGCAATACCAAATAAGGTGTGAAATGGATCCACCTGGAAGAAAAATGAAAGCTTGTGTCTGTTTCCAAAAGTCAACTGTTTTTTCACTTGTATGGAATGAAATTTTCATTTGCCAGCAAGAAAACAGAAAATCTCCATGGCTTCTCTGGGGAAGACAATACAACTGAATAAATTTTCATTTGTGCTAAGATGTGTTAGGCAAGAAATTTCCATAACCAGCATTTACAATACTGTGATTTACTCAGGCATGCTTGTCAATTATCTGCTGCTGAGATGATTTTCAACTCCAAGTTAAAAAGCACTCACATTTGTCTATTAGCATGCAATATCACAGGGTGGTAAAAGCAAAGACAATTAACATTTTAAAAGTAAACTGGATCATCTACAGGTACTGCTTCCATAAATTGCCCATTTGTTCTTCAGAAACATCATAATGCTTTTTTACTGGTCTCCAAATACAGAGCCGAGGTGTATAACCTTGAGAGGGAAGCAGCAACCTATTTTGCTAGAAAACCTCCCAGAACTATAAATAAAAACAACCTCCTCCCAAACCTCTACTCCTAAACCACAGGACCACCACCCCCTCTCCCCCCTACAAAACAAACAAATGAAAAAACAACCCAAACACAAAATACCCCAAAACAACAAGGTCTGTTAGGACTGAGTTTCTGCAAGAATAAAGCAAAAACCTGGGAGCCAACATTTCTACAGGAGCAGAAATTTCTACACTTCAGCAATTGAAGACAGGTAAAAATAATATTAAATGACTGTTAATGTAACATAGAAAAACTGTCACAAAGGTGCTCTCTTTAGTTATAGAGAAAAGGCTCTTCAGAGATGCTCTTCCAAGAAGATACACATATTTCATTACTGAAAGATAGAAAATCATTTAGACTTAAAATTCTGGGCTTTTCTTCAAGAATTCTGAAAACAGAAAAGGTCTTCCTGTAAGCTCCTTAGAAATACAAAACTCTTCCTATTTTAAGAACACAAAAACACTTTCCAAATGACAGACTGCAGTTAACAGATATCTCCCCCAACTGGGAATAAAGTAGCTGCTTGCAAAAAAATAAAAAGTTACTTTATTCTTTACTGCATTTGTGGAGAAGGGAGCAGACATGGGCATCTGCAATAAAAACCTTTCAAAAACCTTTCAGCTGCAATAAAAAGCCAATAGCTTTCCAGACCATTAACAAATAAGCCAAGTGTTCAAAAGGAATGAAGTCTCACAATACTTTTTATTTTATCTGTCCAGCACTCTTGAGAGATAAAAACTTTATTTGCCATTTCACTGGGACAGTATCAGTTACTTCCACTTGAAACCAAAGAGAACAGACTGGCTAAATTTTAACTGCTTTCTCAACAAGCAAAAAATCCATAGCACCAGCCTCTTGACAATGTTATCACAACAGCTTCTTCCTCTCTCAGCTAGACAAATGTCAGCTACAAGATTTATTCAGTGGCTGGGCTAGCAAAGAACAAAAGTTAGTGTATAGGGATTCTTAATAAAAACTCTTGATTTAATTGGATCACACAAAACCACCAAGAGAGCTGAAGACTATTTAACCTACACCAAACTTTAGCTTGCAGACCATTTCACAAAACAAAATAATAAACCCAAAGAACCCACACAGGCACCAGAAAACCCACCATCAAACAGAGCGTTTTTACATACATCTTCCAAATGGTCTTGTGAGAAATGGTTTGTGTTGAGTGTGTTATGGGGGACCAGACCAGATTTTGTAAAGAATGGAACTGACTTCACTGGGGGATACATGTGCGTTATAAAGAATGCGCTCCCCAAGTACGCCTTCAATGGCAATTCTACACTATTCTTCCTTCAGAGTAAACTGCAGCCTCTGCAAAACCCACCTAAACCATGAGTTGAGTTACACTCAAACAAAAGTTGATATTTCCAATTGAAATTTTCATGTGTATTTTATTTAGAAAAAATATCACTTACCATATCTCCTGGTCTGTCAGCAAATCCTCCAGACTCCTCATCCTGGCACGCCAAAATAAAGCAGCGCAGTTTCTCTCTGTCAATCCACTGTATCCTACCAATCATCTTCAAAGAAGCTAGCACCCACCACGAATAACATACATCAGGTAACTGGCAAGCAGAGAGGCAGATTAAATATTTGCCTGGGTTTTAAACATAATGTTGCAAATTTTACTGGTAATTCTGCACATTATCAGTTGTGCTGTCATAATACTCTTGCAGAGACACAACACTTTAGAGTGTCTTTGGAGTAAAAGAATTTCTTGACAGAGTCTCTTTTCAGCAGACTTCTGTTTTCAGGAAAGGAAACTATCTTTTTCAAACTTCTTCAAGAAACAAGACCACAAGAAGGTGATTTTTAAAGACTTCACCTCTGTGAGAGAGGCTGAAAAACCACAGCATTTCTTTGAAGAGGAAATACAGAGAAGTTCATATCAACTATTTGTATTTTGGGGGCAAGGGGGGGAAGCAGGGAATCTGTTGGTTGATTATCTATTTGCCAGAGATTATTCTAGGTTACACAAATCTCTAGTGTGATGTGGAACACTGTGACACTCAGGATTTACATCCAGTAGAACAGCAATTTTCATACAAATCCTACAGAAAGATTCCCCAAGTCAGAAAACAATTAAGACCCAGTTTAACAGGATAATGGTTCAAATGGTCAGCAAGATATCCTTCAACATGTGTACTTTGCTATACTGAGGACTCAAATGAAGCACAGCTAAGGACTGCATAACAGGTGTTAGTAACAAGAGAAAGAATCAGGATGAAGGCCTGACTTCTTTGAAAAGTTTACTAAATGTTTTATAGAAGTCATAACATTTTGCAGTAGTTCAGCTTCAGAAAAAGCAATCTCCATTGAGGTTTGAACAAAGAAAAGAAGCCACGAAGTACCTTCTCTGGTCGTCCGTTGAGACCTCCAGAAGGTAACTGACGTTCACAAAGCCACCAACCGAGCAAGTCAACATTTACTTGATGCAACTGGTCTGTTATAGCCAGAAATCCTGTGCAACAATAGATCTAAAATTACAGACATAAATTTTTTGTGTATTTAATAACTAAATACAGTTTAGCAGACTAAATGCAGGAAGATCTCAAAGCAGCAATACAGTCATATAAACAATGCAAAATAAACTCACACACATTTCAACTTTGAAAGACTTTTCCTTTAGAAAATCATGTTATTGTTATAGTTCCTTTTGTAAAAAGGTACCAGGACAACAATTTGTAATATTTCACTAATATAAGACAGTAATGCAAGGTTTGGAATGTAATCCTAGGAGATTCTGAAAGAGCCATATAATTTTATTTTAAAAACACAGACTCTCAAGCCAGAGTAGTCAAACCAACTTCTGCAGGCTGGATATGGCATTTATAAAAATTTTGCATCCAGTCTATGGTTTGTTCCTGTACCTGCCTTTTACCCTAATGCTTGCAAACAGTAAACAAAAGACCAAATGAACTCCCTAACAGAAACAGGCTAACTCAGATCATTAACTGTCTTTGCAATTCTCTATGTGTACAGTCAGGCTTACTTTCCAAGTGCCATGTAATGTACCTGAATTGATTAATCCCCTTTTAATTTTATTAATCTCCTAAATTAACTAGTTAATAGAATTAATTGATAAAATTAATTGTATTAATTTTAACTTAATCCACTTTTAATAATAATTTTAAAATTAATATTTTTTTCCTGGGAGATACATTTACGATGCAACAGCATACTTTGGTCACATTTTATGCAGTCACTAAGAAAGCAGTGAAGCACAAAAAGCCAAGAATCATGGAATCATTAAGGCTGGAAAAGGCCTCTAAAATCATCAAGTCCAACCTTTGACTGAATACTGTGACTGTGGTCACAAGGGTTTGCAGGTGAAGAGAGAGGCAAGAATGTTGATTCTATGATCAGAAGGCTTGATTTATTATTTTATGATATATATACTACATTATAACTATACTAAAAGGAATAAAAGGAAAAACTCTCAGAAGGCTAGCTAAGCTAAGAATAGAGAAGAAAAGAATGATAACAAAGGAGCTCTCCGACTCTGTCCCAGAGAGAGCTCGGTCCTTGATTGGCCATTAATTATACACATCCAACATGGGCCAATCACAGGTGCACCTGCTGCATTCCACAGCAGCAGACAACCATTGTTTACATTCTTTTTCTGAGGCCTCAGCTTCTCAGAAGGGAAAATCTTAAAGAAAAGATTTTTATGAAAAGGTGTCTGTGACAGAATACCACCAAATAAGACTACACTGTATCAGGATGTGCCACATCTACTCATTTTCTGAACACTTCCAGATATGGACACTCCACCACTTTCCTAGGGAGTCTGCTGCAATGCTTAACCACTCCTTCAGTGAAGAAATTCTTCCTAACATGCAGCTTGAATCTCCTGCAGTGCAACTTGAGGTAATTTTCCCTCTTCCTGTAACTAAATGACTGTGAGAAGAGGCCGACCCCCCACCTTGCCACAACCTCCTTTCAGGTAGTTTCTCCTGAACCTTCTTTTCTCAGGCCTAAACACTCCAGTACTCTCAGCTGCTCCTCATAGGCCTTATGTTCCAGACCCTTCTCCAGCTCTATTACCCTTCTCTAGACATGCTCCAGCACCATAATCTCCTTTTGGAAGTGATGGGCTCAAAACTGCCTACAGGATTGGAGACACCTCAGAAGTGCCAGCACAAGGGATACCACCTGCCCTGGTGCAGTGACCACACTGTGGCTGGCACAGGTGCCAATGGCTTTCTTGCCCACCTGCGCACACCTGGGCTGATATACAGCTCCTGTCGACCAGCACCCTAAGTCCTTTCCTGCTGCTCCAAACCTGGAGCATTCCACAGGATTCTTGTGACACAGGACTCGGCACTTGGCCTTGTTGGACATCACACAGCTGGCCTTGGCCCATGGATCCAGGCTTTGCAGAGCCTTCTGCCCATGAATCAAAACTCCCACACAAACTGGTCCTTCCTGTGACTTACTGAGGATGCACTTGATTCCTTTGTCCAGACCACATGATGAGGATATCAAAAAGGACTGGCCCCAAAACTGAGCCCTGGAGAATCCCATTTGTGACCCCTCACCAACTGGATTTAACATCACTCCCCAATACTCTCTGGGTCCGGCCATGCAGCCAAGACTGCACCCTGTCCAAGCCACGGGCTGCAGCCTCTGCAGGAGAATTCTGTGGGAAAGCATGTTGAAAGCTTTACTCAAGTCTGGCAATATCCATGAAAGGCAATATCCACTGCCTTTCTCTCATGTACTAGGTAGGTCATTCGCTCATAAAAGGAGATCAGGTTTGGCAATATTCCCAGAAAAATACTGAACCTTCATGGAGGTGAAAGAGAGAGCTTTTTAAGGAGTATGTGAATATGCACAATAGTCCTAATCCTCACAGAAAATGCCAGCTGCAATCAGAGTGGGTTCAGCTGTGGAACTGACTTCCTCAAACACTAGAACATGGTCCAGCCATTCAGACTATATGGGCAATGCTATTGTACATTAAAACTATAAGGTAATGACATGTAACAGATTTAACTTTTTTCCTGATTTTAAACTAAGAACGGGCAGGAAACCCAACACTTATCAACAAAATGCCTTTAATATTTTCATGTGATGAAGTGAATCCTAGATATGGCATTACTCACCCTAATTATGCAAAATTAACAGGTAACTGCAACAGCATTAAAAGTTGATTTTTTTTCACATATTCAGGTTAAGTGCACTAAACTTTTCCATGAAAAAAAATATAGGAAAGGTAAGTTTAAATTTAAAATTATTTCCATTATGTAAATTTCTTGTTGAAAGAAGTTATTTAGATTGTCTTCCTCGTGAGATCCCTTAATTTTTTCTAGTTATACTACTGTATTTTCTTCTCAAGTACATTTTATTGAGCTATTTTCAGAATTCACTGTCACCAGTAACAGGGTGTAACACTACTGATTCTAGCTGAGAAATATGCCCATTACTAAGTTAGGTATGTCATCTAAAACTGGCTTTCCTCAAAAAATTAAGTAATTCTTTACAGGATTCATGTCTGATTTTTATTTGGGTTCATTGGTTGATAAATCTCAAACAGACTATACAATTAATGTTTATGTCTCATTATGACTTCTGTCAGAAAGAGGTGATAAATCTTGTTCACCGTCTCCACTGATACCCATTTCAAATTCTCTAAAAATCCTCAAGCTAGCAATTTCAAAATCACTACGTGAAGACTCAAATACAGTCCTAAAAGCTGTTCTATTACTGTCTTTTTTCCTACCTAAACTCTCAAGTCTCAACTCACCTTCCCAGATTAGGTTACTTATCTGTTCATTTATTTTAACTAAGACACTAGAATCAGGCATTTGGGAAACAAGAGGTACATCCATTGTCATCACTGATACATGTTGTAAAGAAACATTTATGTTTATGTATGTGATGCTTGCTAATTTAAAGTATTTCCATATAAAGAGAAACTCACCTGTCCTGCATGTGATTCGGAACCTGGTCTACAACCAAATCCTCCATCAAAGTTCATACAGGACAAAACGAACTCAACTGCTTTTCCCACATCAATAGCATCCAGCTTTCCCTGCAAGTCAGAAAATAATTAATGCACTTGATCTCCTATCAAGCTGATCTTCTGCAGAAACTTCAGCAGTACCCAAGAGCGGTACCAATTGAGTCTCTACTTATGCAAGTGATGGTTTAGGACTTACCAGAAGTGCAAGAGTTGCTGCAGCACAGAAAGAGAACCTTGTATCTATTTCTCCTATAATGTAGGGGATAAGGAATGAAATCAATTATTTTTTCAACATACATTTAAATCACTACTGAAAGTACAGAACAAAATGCTAAAATCCTAGGTTCTACATCAAAAAACAAAAATCAGCTAAAAAAATCCCCCCATACAATTTAATTTTCTAGCTTACCAATTATTTCCCCAGTAATTTAGAAAATATACATTACCATTTAAGTGATCTGTATGTTTTACTGTGCATAAAAGTCAACTCATTTAGAGCTGGACAGCTATATATCCAAATCAATTCAGCTAGTGGTAATTTACAAACAGCTGTTTAATTTTAGAGCTTTTCTGTAGTTGCAGAACAATGCAGAGCTTTTTAGAGCTTTTCTGTAGTTGCAGACAGTTGCAGAGCAATGGAAATAACGCAAAAATAATCAGACAGCTCTTGCTTTGCCTTAAATCCAGCCAGAAGTAGAAGCCATTTCTTGTTTTAGGGGAAATCTAATTAAAGTTACAAGGCTTCTTTTGCATATTTGTACCTGGAAGAAAAACCTAAGCTCCTACACCTATAACAGAATGATTGCTTGTCATGTCCAATATAACTCTTTTAGCACAAACTCTAGGCAATTAATACTTGAAGTCACAATTTAAAATTTAACTGAGCTGCAAACATTCTGTTTCTTGGTCAAACTTTTGCAAGACTTCTGTTCTTAAGAAATTCACAAGCTGAAACACAAAAACCAAATATCTGCTGCTCCATCCCACATCAGGGATCACACTCCCTCAGCTGCGCCTCTCGGAATACTTCAATAAAAAGGGCGCAGCAGACCATGAACCAATTTACTGCACAGCATATTGTCTACCTTTACAGTAGCATACATATACTGCTAAGATCTCAGTTGCTGAATTTTACCTGAACAAGAATGATACAAAATAGATTTTCTTAAAATTTAGGTCATCCGTGGTGATAAATACCTTGAGAGTGACTAAATATTTATGCCACAGCTTAAAAATGCTGTATTTGTTCATAAAGAATTTATATGCAGAAACAAATCAGCATTAAGGGAAGTTAATGAGTACAAACCCAGTTTTTTTCACTTGCACAAAGTGAAAAATCCTTTCATATTTGACATGGATATAAGTCATTACTAACTACCATCAAATTGCAAGTATAAAACTTTCCTTTATGAAAGAGCATATCTAGTATTTCAAAGTACTGTTAAGTTAAAAATGCCCGAAAGTTTTCTTTGTCAAGACATTTTCTTCGTAATACAAGATTGGAACTGAAGTTGAGAATATTTAGAAAGAAATGAAACATAATTCTGTCCTTCACAAACTCATCTTTTTCATGACTCAGAAAATAAAAGTGTTCCCATATAATACATATGCAAAAAAGACCATCCAAGAAAACTTTAGTTTATAAACTTACACAAGTCAACCTAGACGCTACATTTAGAAGATCTAAAAATTACCCCATTCATCTCCAGCAAACGATCCATCTTCTTTCTGCAAGCTCTGTATATATTCAACAATTTTATTTACATCAACTACATGGAGACTATCATATAAAATAAGAATCTGGGAGGGGAAAGAAAGGACACAATAATAATCAAAGAGGAGCAAAAACTTTAAAAATTTATTTCTTAAAAAAAAAATTGGATTTATAAAAGACATGATTTAATTAACTCTGAATACTATTTGGTAAGGTTTATTACACATTTTTCCCACTTTAGTAGTTAATCTCTGCACTGCAGATTATCTTTGTCTAAAACCTTTAGGACATTCTCAAAGGGAGACAGAAACAATTCAAACTGAACTCTATCACACTTTGTTACTTTACAGTGTTGAGGTCTCCTCTCAAAAGCACAACCAGGTTTATTTATTTTATGTCAGCAATATGTAGAACAGATATTTGATTATGGTCAATATTGTAATGGGACAATGACACCTAGGATGCACCAATTTGTAGTTTTGCACTGTGACTACTTGGATATGTGTATGTTAAGTTACTAACTCCACTTACAGGGCAAACTTATCAACAATAACTTGCTTCAAATTATTAGATTTTTGTTTATATTAAAATTTTAAATTTAATTAATAGAACCAAAATGGAATAATTTAGAGTATGAACAATATGATTATCCACCAACTGTAGAGTGAATATATTCTGGAAGAAAAATGAAGGTTATAGTAGGGAATACAATTTTCCAAACTAATTTCCAATTTCCACCGCTGATTTAAACCAGCAAATCTGTATGACACAATATCATGTGAAAACAACAGTACTGTTCCTGAGCCCATCTGACTTTATGTTTTTACTCATACCTTGCAAATCAGTAAAGACAGTAAATAAGAATTTATTATACAGCACAAAATAGAAAAAAAACCCAGCTGAAACGAAGCAATATTATAGTACCAATCTGAAAAACACTAGACACTATGACTTTAAATCTAGTTAGCTGGAATCTTTCAATTGTTAGATAAAACTGAAGTCAAATAAAATATAGGTCTTACGGAAAATTCCAAAAACAAGAACCTACAACTCCAACAGAAAATATGTAATCACAACATGCACCCTAAATGCAAACCTGAACAAATTACTATTGAGAGAGATCACAAGAACATATGATGTGACCCTTTAAACTTCCTGGATACGCAGACAGCACTAAAGGCTGTTTGTTCACTAAGACCATGCATACTCATTAAGATACGCTGGTTAGGTTTGCCACAAAAACTTTACATCAGCATTTGTCAACACTTTTTCAGTTTGGAGAGCTACAGCTCAATTTAGTTAACATGAAAATATCTCCTAGTAAAATCAAGTACATTTTTAAGAACTAACATATCTAATAGGTAAGGTAACAACCTCAAATTGTATCCCCCTTATACTGAATTGGAATTTGTGAAAGGAGCTGGATTGGACAGTTTGGAAAAGTTCAAACATCACAGCCTGGAAAAACTTTAGTGGCCTGGTTCTCGCAGTGTATTCAGAGTAATTCTAGTGCTAAAGTGGTAATAATGATCAACCTTAGAGCATCCTGTCCTACCCTAAGGGGTTCAAACCCAATATCTTAAATCCATCATAGTTTCTGCCTAGAAAAGAATGCCATTTTGTTTTTTTTTTGTAATGCCATTAAAATACTTCATTCATAAGACTGAATGAGACGCACCCTGCAAGCTATCTAGCTAATTGTTCAGAAGTGTTTGAGCCTTTTCAGTACTTTTTCACAAAATTATTTGCATCAGCAGAGCAAAGAAAAACAAAAAACAAAACAAAATAAAGGAATGAGCAATAGTGAAAAACAAGTCTGTAATGGAGATAGCTGCAGTGAAAAAATAAGATTGAGAGTTACTTCTTATCAGGGGGAGCATATGCACCAAATAAATTAAATGTACAGCAGCTAGTACAATTTTTAAATTACACACCCCCAAAAAACTCATATAAAAATAAAAAATTTTGCTCTTGTTCTGGTCATACTTATCTGTCACCTCAACGTACACTAAGAATAATTTATAAAATCAAAAATTATCTATAAAATGCTCCAGTAAAACCTGTAGCTAAGGAGTATTCCAAGACAACTTACTAAACTGGCAACAATGCAGTAACCATTAATTGACTGTTAAAACATTCCCAAATATGTCAATTTTTAGAAAGTAATACATCTAAATCCTACAGTTTTGTCCAGTAGATTCTTTTTTTATTAAGATACCGAAATAATTTTTGTCATGGGCCTCCAACAGTAACTGGTTCATAAATCTGCAATCATCAAAATCTTAATCACAAACACTTTTTTGTAAAATTACCCTCCTACATTTACCTGGACAGCACTGAGGGTATACAGAAGATGAGGATCATGACCTATGCTGGCACTTATTCCACCACACTCATGTTGACATGATTTGATGAATGACAGAATTTCTTCTTTGTTCATTCGGTGCAGCTGCCCCATGAGATCCATTGCTGTCAGTCCCCAGTACACACCACTCATCCTCAAATACTCCGACATACAGTATTCCTAAATAGTGCATTATTTTAGTTCTTGATCAGATAAGCACACCATCAATGGAGAGTAATGAAAATACGTTAGTTAACTTTCACAAACAGCTTCTAGTTAGTCAACCGTTTTCCAACCATTTATCAACTACACATCAGCCACTCACAGATATTCTGTACATCATGCACATGCGTATATACACATACATACGGAAAAATGCACATGTAGATACCAACACGTACTACACTCCCTCCCTCCCTGTAATTTTCTAGTTCAAGCCATCAAGCTCAAAGTCAAATTAGCCACAAACAGTTGTGCACCAGTTCACTTCACATCACTTATTATCTTGACATTCAAAGAAGCCCTCAAATTGCCACCCCAACTAGTCTCAAAAAATAACAAGTCTATTTCCAAGTGCCAAAACTCTCACAATTTAAAGTCACACTAGGGAGAGAAATTTCACATTGAATTCTCTTACAATGATTACATCACCCGCACTCCATAAACTTTCTCACATGCACTACAATTGAAAGCAACAGTGCTTGGCATGCTCTTGTGAACAGTTAAGGTAACTGCAACTTTTCTTCACGTACGCAGTTATTGACAATTTTTACTTGCTGGAAGTGGAATCCCATTGTTGTGGACTACATCCAACCACTTACTACTGCAAGTTGTCCCATCAAAAGAGTAACATGCAAATACAACTCTACTTGTGCATTCTAGTGAATGAAGAAGCTAGTAGCTTGTTTCTCAGGTCTCAGAGTAATTATAGAGCTAAAATGATAATCTTCAAATTTATAGTCAGATAATACATGCCAAAACTCATCACAGACCTAGAGACATTAGCAAGAGCACCTTTATTTCACACTTTGGATTGCAGGGTAAAAAACAATTAGCTTTTTAACATGCATCTAACCCTTAGCTCTGAGCCAATAAATAAACAAAAACCACAAGCTAACAAAACCACAGGTGTACTGTGACAAACTGATACCTACATAATCATCTTTCTTTGTTCCATATGAAGCTATATAGTCCGCATGTTTTTCTGAAAGTAATGTGCTTGGGGCATCGGGTTTTATTATAACATCCTTTTGCGGTGTCCCCTGTAAAAAGCACCAATAAGTCAGTTGAAATGTCAGGTCAAAATGTTTTAGCAACTTGGTATAAAACAGCCAACACCGGTGACTGTGACTCTGGGAAAAAACATCTCTCTGGCTATTCCGAGCCTAGGTCAGGTTGCGCATCTCACGCCATCACTGTTCAGCCTGGCCAAACCCTTCCCCAGGAAAGGCTACGAACGGAGCCTTGCAAGAAAGCCAGGAAATAACACCAACTCGCCAAGAGTACCCTGAAGCGCCGGACGCAGGAGC